TTTCACGTCAACAAATCACTTATGATTGTTAGCACACATGTGTATTATGTGTTTGATTGGAATGATTAATTGATTATCTATTCAACTATAATTGTGCATTGGGTTTGGGCGTTAGGATCGTCGTGAGATTGATTGCTTGAGTGAGTTACTTGAATATTAATTTACAATCAATCATCATGGTTAAGTTGGGTTGCGATAATTAAAGAGGTTCTCACTATTTATTGTTAAATTTGTATGAGAAGAGATATTTCTGATAAGTGTCTATTGTTCTACGTGTATAATTACGGAGAAAGATCCACATTGATAAGGATGACAGTGGACCGAAGTGGGGGCGGGGGGTGTAATCCCATTCCCATACGTGCTTAAAAAAATTTTGTTTATCCTTGATTCATCCCCATTAACGGATATAATTTTTATTCTCATCCCCGTTTGCGTGTAAAATTGTAATCCTCGTCCCCGCCCCCGTCCACCTTACCCGTCCCAGGCCTAATCCAAGCTAATATAATCCAAAATATAATAATAATAATAACAATAATAATAATAATAATAATAATAATAATAATAATAATAATATTAACAACGGGTAAAGCGGGACAGGGAGGGGCAGGGGTAAATATCAGTTTATCTCCGCTTTTATTTCTGCACGGGTTTATATGAGTATTTCCGTATACGTTCACCATCCAATACGTATGGTCTATCTCTGGTCCAAATAAAATGGATTTAAACAAATACCTATTTTTACCTATCCACTGTCATCCCAACGCATCGGTTTTCCCTCCGAACCCTCCCAAAACAACACCCTTGTTTTCTTGGACAAGTTAGAGCAACATTGATATTTTTATTTGTAAAATATTCATGATTAATTTGATGCAAAGAGTCTATGTTTGAATAGGACAACAATAATTAAAGCCTAATGATTTTAACTCTTGGATATGAGAACAAGAATGATGGTGAAGATCTCGGATGTCTTCGTCAGTTTTGTTTTTTCTGTGTTAGGTATTTTTGTTAAGTCAAATGAATATAATTTAAAATTTTCCCAGTATTAAAATTACATAAAAATTCAAACGTGTCAATTATTTTTCAGCTCAATAACATAAGTGCCAAAATAAAAAGGTATTATTTTTAGAAAAAAACTCGAGAATATAGTGTCAAATCCAACACAATTTTATTGTAAATTCACTTTCATCTTTGGAAATTATTAGTTAGGGTTAATTGGGTTAGAGGTTTTTAAAGTATGAAGTTTATCTTATTTTTGTCCATAATATTTCAATTGTATCATTTTAGTTCCTAAAGTATTGAATATGTTTTTATATGATCCTTCAAGTAAACAACGTCTAGATTGCTAACGATTTTTTATCATAAACTTGTCACATAATAGTTAAATATGAACAAAAAATAATAATTTTGATAGCTCTTATATAAAATTTGAGTAGTTCTTGACAAAAAAATGTGTAATATGAGTAGTTTTTGACCAAAATTTGGATAGCTGATAATCAAAACTGTGTAATTTAATTAGGAATTTAACCAAAATTTGAATAAAAAATTGGTCAAGAGTTATCTAAATAATTTTTTTGTCCATATTTAAGTATCATGTAACAAGTTTATGATAAAAAAATTATTAGTAATGTAGACACTGTCTGCTTGAGAGACCATATAAAAACATATTTAAGACTTCAAGGACCAAATGATGCAATTGAAACTTGGGGACTAAAATGAGACAAATTTTATATTTTAGGAACCTCCAGTACAATTAACCCTTATAGTTAACTTCTAAACGATTAACGGTAAATAATTTGTGGAATTAATTGTCATCCCGTGGTAGAGTTGGCAAAATTTTTGAAATGATCCTTCCACAGCACAAATTATTAAAGGGGAAGCTTTTATGTGTCTTTGTGTATAATATTGAAGATCACTAAGAACATTATTTTACTACTTCATTATAAATAAATAAAAAGAAGAATATTATATGGGCTAGAAAGTGATTTAGATTGATTATTATACTTTAATTCTTGAAAATAATTAATCACCTTATATGTGTATGTTTGTTATTTGTGAAAATTAGGGCCGAGTCCTATGAGGACTTTTAATGAGTTTAGTCTATTACTCAAACTTATTTGGAGATAAGTTCTATTTTAATTTTATTATAAATAGTTAAATTTATAATTTTTTTAAAACTCTAAAATACCCTTCCTTGAAAATAGTATTAAATTAATTTTCTAACTTAGGAATTGTTATTTTTTAATTCATTGTCAATTGAGATATGCCAATAATTTTTTTTACATAAATTAAAAATTCAAATAGTACTTGTAGCAGTGTCCCACCGATGAATACCCTCTCAAAATTGCCATGGTTGATCAACCAAAGCTCTTTATTATCACCATCATTATTTCCATCAACGGCGTGTGAAGCCACCACCGAATAGCATCCCAACAATCTTTCGTAAGTCGCAGGCAAAGGGTGCTATGGAGCGAGCCTATACTCGACTAAAATTATAAGAGCTTTGGCTTGAGAGGCAATTAGGTTCATGTATCGGCAGTCGAAGAAAGAGAAGGCAGATTGCAAGCAAAAGCCTCCATCGTCGAAGTAGACTAAGAAATCTCTACAGTGTCCGAAAGGTGTCGACAAAATGCACCGAAGCATGTTACTACTTTTTCAATTCCTGCAATACCATGTTACTATTTTTTTATATATTTTTATTTTTTTCGCATGTTACTACTTTTTTTTGGCACATCTTACTGCTTTTTTGTTCATTTTAATATTTTTTTCATGGTATAATTTTTTTATATAACTATTTTTTTGTTAAGTATGTTATTGTTTAATATTATTATTATTTTTTTTGTTGAGCATGTTGTAAATGTTAATATTTTATATTACTATTTTTTTGTTCCAATGTTACTATTTTTTTATTTTAAATATTGCAATTTTTTATTTTGAATGTTACATATGTGTGTGTGTGAGAGAGAGAGAGAGAGAAAGAGAGAGAGAAATAAAATAGTCATAATTTATATATAGATATAGATAGATATGGTAGAAAAATAATTATAATCCTTGTAAAACTCTTAAAAAGTTTAGGAGTTATTAGTTTTTAAATTTATTTTATTTAAATATAATTATTGAAGGTATTTTGAATAATAGAGATTAAAATAGATTTACTTCTGAATAAATTTTTTGAATAAACTTAAGTTCAAATAAATTCACAAAAAAGAAACCGCCCCAAATTTCCCTCGTTATTTTTGATGTGGAAATTTGCTTAAATAATTAATAAAAGTCAGTTGAAACTTATTATACGGATATGTCCCTCTCCAACCAGCATGACGGGTTCCATCCAACCAAATAATTTCCCCATAAGTGGTCCAGACAAATATGCATATATTATTATTCATGGAGGTGTTCAAATCAAACATAGACTTGACTATGATACAGATAAAAAAAAATTTGTTATCATGCTTTTAAAATTTATTACTTTAAGCGATGTTTTATAACTTTTGTGGGTAATTTTATAATTAAAAAATTTATTAATTTTGTGGGTATGTTTATTACTATTGTGAATATTTTTACCACTGTCGTAATAACTATTTGGAAAAATTTCAACCACACTCTTTTAGTTTACCATATATTCAAGAACACTCCTTTTATTTTTTGAATCTTCAGTGACACCCCCTGTTAGATTAAAAATATTAATTAAAATGTAATTTTACTAAATTGTCTATGATATATTTGAAAGCAAATTTCATCCATACCTCCTCTAGATAAACATATCTTCAATGAGACCCCCTCTAGATAAGTATATCTTCAATGAGACCCCTTCTATTTTCTAATTTTTTTTACATATTAAAATTCGATTCAAACTAATTAAAATTTGAGTTAATTAAAAATTATATTTTTTTTACATATTAAAATTTGGGCTAATTAAAATTTTATTTTAGCCAATTAAAAATTATTTTTAATTGACTCAAATTAAATTTTAATCAATTCGCATTGAATTTTAATCAGCACAAATTTTAATATATAAAAAAATATAAATTTTAATTGACTCAAATTTTAATAAATCGAATTTTAATTGACACGAATTTTAATAATCAAAAAAATATAAATTTTTATAGACTCAAAAGAGAATTTTAATCGGTGCTAACAATTCGAGTAGAGTTCAAATCAATTCAAATTTTAATATGTAAAAAATAAATTTTAATAGGTTCGATTTTTTTTTAAAATTTACGAATTAGTAAATAAAAAATTAGTATTTACTAATAAATTATTTACTAAAATTGTTATTTACTATTTTTTTTAAAATTTTAACAACTCGATTTTTAATAAAATTTTATGTAGAAAAAAAATACTTGAGGTTTATGTAGGGACATTTTTGGTATTTTGGATGAATTTTTTGTGTTGGAAATGGTAGTTTAATGGTAAGGGTTGTTAGTAATGTTTAAATTAAACTAGAAGGGGGTGTCAGTGATGTTTTCGATAATAGATGAGGTGTCCTTGAAGATATAGTCAACTAGGAGGGGTGTGGGTGAAATTTTTCCTAACTGGTTTTACTTCTTTTCTTCAATGCAAAAAAAAAAAAAATACTATTTTTGTGGATGATTTATAATATTTGGGGGTCTTTTTTACCACTTTGTGGATATTTTTATTATTATTGTGGTAATTATTTTTATTATTTTTTTTAGTATTGCAATAGTAATAAAAACACCTACAATAATGATAAAAATACTTACAAATGTAATAAATTTCGGAATAGGACCAGAATTTTATTTTTCAATATCGTAGTCAAATTTCTGAAATATCCATGTAGCCTTTCTAAAATATCTGAGAGTGATGGAGTTCGATGAAAAAGTACAAGATTGTAGACATAATAACATTATTAGACTACGTCATTGCCACATCACTAAATCAACAAATTAAGTTAATTTTTAAATCTCAATAACATTATTCTTTTTTAAACTTACATATATATATATATATATATAAACTCTTATCTCAAACTATTTTAACACGGATTACAAGAGCTTCACATGACGCGTACCTTTATCTACGCCACATTGAAGAGTCAGTTTTTGATGTTATATTGAAAGTTATTATAAAATAAATGTGATTTTATGATAAAAGTAAGGTTATTTGAGATCGACCTTGACATTTATGATCGATTCTAATTTTTTATGTATTTTTGGGTCGCAAGACTCGTAATTTGATCTCCAATGAATTGAAACTAACTTTTTTATATCAGCATGACAAAATACTAGGAACTATTGCAGTATACAATGACAAGCAAGGATAGAGCATAGATGGCCCAGGAGGTGAGCTTGAGGCATAGTGGAAATGGTATTGTCACAGCAAAGAAGAATGCTGTGGCAACACAAAATACCCCAACTCTATCCAGTGCTTGTGACTGAATTGGATACTTGGAAGCAACAAATCTGGCAACAAGCAGAGAGGTAAATGCCAGCAAAATAAAAAAGGACAAGAAGTGGAAGAGTAGAGGCAGTCGGCCAGAATTTTGTACCCAACAGAGAGCTATTTCAACTGCTGATGCTAAGCAAAATGCGACTAGTACCATTGGCCAGTCCTGAGTCTGCTCGGTGTTGTGTGCGACGGTGTCATTGCCCGGAGGAGGAGGACGAGGAGGAGGAGGACGAGGAGCAGGAGGAGGAATAACTTCTTGTTCATAATGTTGAGGCTGCTCCGCCTCCATGATGGTGGATTCGAGATCGAGGACGGGAGGAGATAATGAAGGGTGCTGGCAAGGTGGTGGTGGTGGCTGTGTCTGGTTAAGTCCTGGACAAGAAAAGTTCATCCTTCTCTTGATTCAAATGTGAAAGGAGTGGAGTTAAAGTAATGTGTCGTGTGGTTATTCTAATAATGACCTGCTTTTATAGGAATTTTCTCTCTATTTCAGCCTTGAGGTAATCTCCACATTGTAAGCGAACAAAGAAATTCCTATAAAAGCAGATTCTGACTCCAAATGTAAGACGACAATAATTTAGCATTGGAATTTTACTTGAAGACAAACTTAAACGGCAAAATGGACAAATTTCAGAGTAAATATTGGGTGTAACGAGCTAAGTCACATGATTAGTCTAAACTAAGTTACACATCATCATTCTATGCATAAATTCTCGCTTTAAAAACGAATTAATAACGAATTCTAAAAATCACAAATTAAACGTTTAAACTAAAATTGAACAAGCCCAAGGCAACACAGTAGGACTTCTGCTGGCATAACAACCAAGGCCCAGCACATGAAGTAACTCATAAAGCAAGTGGTTAAAAAGCTCACTGACCCCTTTTTTATAGGCATGTTTTGACTGATGGTAGGGATGACAGTGAATCGAAAAAAAATGGATATTTGTTCAAATTCGTCTTGTTTGAATCGGAAATGAACTATACGTATTGGACGGTGAACGTATACGGAGATACGCGTATAAACCTGTTCGGAGATAAAGGAGGGGATGAACTTACCCTTATTTCCATCCCGTCCCCGTTCCAGTCCCCGTTATATATATATATATATATATATATATTGCAATCTTATCTAGTTATTTTCATATGAATACTCAGAAGTTTTGTGCCTGAGCCCCTTCAATATTAATCCCTGCTGCTCTTTATATGAGATTCGTACTGAACTTTTAGCACATGTGTCCTACTAGAGATGCTAATAGCATAATACTTTATATATTACTTAGTGCAAGGAAAATGCAATTGTATTGAGGATATTAGGTTTCTCATAAATAGCTCTAAAGTGAAGACCTCAATCACTTTAGATACCTGAGCACTTGTGATTGGATATTTGAACCCTTATTATTTTTGACTCTCAATTCTTTGTCATTTAAATCTGAAATGTAACAGTAATATTACAATCAAAAGTCAATTCTCATGCTTTGCATTAACAGCGATATTGGGCTTAGACTTAGACTTGGACTTGGGTAGGTACAGGAGAAGTGGGGACGGGGGCGGAGATTAGAAATTTACTTGCGGACGGTGATGGGGATGAAAATTATACCCGTTAACGGGGTGGACCGAAGATGGACAAATTTTTTTTAAGCGGATACGGGGATGGAGACTATACCCCCCGCCCTCGCTTCAGTCCACTGACATCCCTAATTGTTGGATTGTCTTCCCTTTCGATGTGCCATAGGTTTGCAAGTCAAATAATGTCTTTCAGATGCGGGGTCAAAATTTTTATTTTGGGTGAACACTCTAACTAGAAATTTTAATTTTTTCCCTGCAATGAATAAAAATAAAATCACATATTAAACTAACATATTAAATTATTGTGTTATATTTGATATTTGAATATTTATTAAATTCAAGATGGGTCAAACGTCGATGTACATAGAGTATATAAACAAAAAACAAAACATAAAAAATAGATTAATGAGATCGCTTGACAAAAAAAAAAAGAGGCTAATTACATACAATTGACTTCGATAAACTTTCTTACTTTGAAAAAGTTATTTGGTAATTTCATTATCAATAGTTATTACAATCTTTATAACTTAAATAATTGCAAAATGAGCTCAACATATCAACAATTTATGTAATGTTTGTAATGTGTTCGAAGTGTGTGTAAAAATTTATAGTCCTTTAATTATTGGTCATACTAATTGATAGGAAAAAAAAATAATAATAATAAGATGAACATAGTTAAATATACCTAATAATTAACAAAAATTATATATAAGTAATATATTTATAAAAAAAAAATAAATAAAGGTGGGCCTATGCCCACCCTAGTCCCCTCTTGGATCCGCCTTCGGCTCTGAGAAGTTCTTTCCGTGGGGATTGTGTGTCAAGGATCTTCAAATCAGAATGATTCTTACGAGGGGACTGCTTCGAATTGACTTCTACTCCCGGCCTGCTTCTCCACCAAACTTCATCAGCAATAATATATTATATGGCTTTGGTTGACGCCACTCGGCCTTCAGGATACGTATGGTATTGTTGCTTGGGTCATCCGTCTTCTCGCACTCTAGCCTTGTTACGTGGGAATTTGAAATTTTCAGATTTTATGAAGTTAATAATTTTTGGAGAAATATTATATAACCCAAATTTATAATTTAAATTTGTATTTCAAACGAGGGAGAACCATTAGATGAATAAGTCTCATCAACTTTTTAAAATGAGATTCACTGATCTAATAATCTCTTTCATTTGAAATATAAATTTGGGTTATATTACATTACTCTAATTTTTGTGACTCTTGTTAATTGGCTAATAGCCACAAACTGCTCTTTAAAACCTAGATTATGTATCGACTACTCCTTTAAATATTATCCATTGTGATTTATGGGAACCTTCTCCAGTTGCATCAAATTCTGGTTTTCATTATTATATACTATTTGTGGATGATTACAGTAACTTTTCTTGGCTATATCCTCAACATGCAAAATCTAATGCGCTCTCATGATTTGTTTGGTATAATTATTAAGACTTTTCAATGTGATGGAGCTCTTGAAATCACTCGTGGTCAAATCAAGAATTTTTCGGATGAATGTGGCATCACCTATCGAATTGCTTGTCCTCCTACCCAGGAATAAAAAGGTGTTGCAAAGGGAAGCATCGTTACATAACTGAGATGCGACTTGCCCCCTTGTTTGACTCTCACATGCCCAAAAAGTACTGACTTGAGGTTTTCTCTACTGCCATGTATCTCATCAATCGATTGCCGGCTCCTTTCCTTCGTCATCACGGTCCAAAAGAAATTCTCTTTAAAGCTTTCCCAAACTACGAGTTACTACAAGTTTTCAGCTGTCAATGTTTTCCATGGCTTCACCCTTATCGTCATGATAAACTCAGTCCCAAATCAATCTCATGTGTCTTATTGGGTATAACCTATGAAGCACGAATACGGATACGGGATACGGATACGATACGATACGAATACGGGAATATGACAAAACAAAAAAAAATAGGATACGGGTATGGCTAGGATACGTCTATAAAATATATATTTTTTAAAATTTTATTATTATATTTAATGTAATAATTATGATTTATAAAGTGTATCACACTTCTATCACAAATATATAATAATAACTAACCATCAGAGTCAGTCGATCGTCAGTGTGAGTGAATGAGAGAGAGAGAGAGATGATTGTCGTCGAGTATCGATTGAAGGGAATGAGGAGCTTGACTGGCTGTAGAAGAAAAATATACAGGTTTTAGTCTTTTAGACTTTTAGTTTAATAATTATTTTTTTTTGGCAAATAAGGGCCTAAATATATTGCTCTTGTGCCCCTATACTTTTTAAAATTCGAGTAATACTCCGCCGTATCCTTATGCGTATCTTAGGCGTATCCCACGCGTATCCAAAACGTATCCGACCGTATCCGAAAACTAATTTTTTTTTTGAATTTTAAGATACTTCTCATATGTATCCGGTACGTATCCGACGCATATCCGTATCCAAAAAATATCCGATACGGATACTTTGACCCTTTTGAAGTATCTGTGTCTCATAGAGTATAACACTATACACAAAGGCTATCTTTGTCTTGACCCACAGACAGGTAAAGTGTACAGCTCTTGACATGTTATTTTTAATGAAGACTATTTTTCATTTGTTGCGATCACTCAAAATCCTCTTGGCTCTTCGACAAATTCCTCTTCCCCAATTATTATCTCACTTTCCATTGGCTAGTGCTCCTCCATCTTTGCCTTTGCCAGATGCTTCTTCTGTTGTTTTCGGTATCCAAATAATGTAAAATCACTTATTGAAATTTTTTATTTGAACCATGTAAAGAGTTAAACAGAAACGAGTTACTCAAACGAAACAGTAACAGTATAGAATTACATAGAAACGAAAAAGTAACATGTAATTTTTTGTCAAACTAATATAAATAATAATTCGGTTACAGAACAAGAACTGTTATTGAAGTTGATGTAGATTAAGACTAGTGTTTGACACTATGTCCTTCAGACAAATTTCGCCCTCACACACGGTGTGTATGAAATACCAAGCGTCTGCCTCCCAGGATACAATGATTTTTACACGAGTATAAGTAGCACTTCAATCTACTCATTTAGGAACCAAAATTTGTGTTTGTGTACTCTCCAAGACATTACCTTAATGCCAATATGCATACTGTAATGCACTAATGTTTGCCTTAATGTCGAAAATGGACTGAACAATGAATTGATGCAAAATGGTAATGAGTCTGGGTATTTATAGACAGTTTGGTGACTTTTCGAACAACCACATACTAAAAGACACAACCCAGGAAGACAAATGCCAACTAGTAGACACCAATTATAATTGTTTTCTATGAACAATCACAACTCAATTTTGGACTGGAGGGAAGCAATACATCCGAACCAGTGTGATCCAACGGATATCGAAAATTAAATTTCGATTTAGAAATTCTCGCCCAATTAATTAATTAAATTTTCTCCAAAAAATAGGGCTTGGTCTAAACCACACTCGTACCTGTATCCGAGCTCAAGCCTGGTCCGGCCGGGTTGGGTCGTGGTCGTGGCGAGGTGGGCGGGTGGGGCGCGCGTGTGTGTGTGGTCCAACTGAAGGCATGTAGGTGTTTGCTCCGCTCATAAAACTGTGGTACTCCTTGGGGCCAAGTCTTATAGAGCAAACTTGGCTTATATATGCCCATGTTGAATTTCTTCCTCAACCAATGTGGGATTGGTGTCAAATCCCACATTGCATAACATTTATTTCCACATCTCAAGAGAGTCACTTTGGAGCCTATTTTTTCATTCATTTCTTACTCGATTTGAGCAAGTGAATATACTAAATTATTCTTCTCACTGAGTAGAATATGAACTCACAAAATTTTATTC